TATATTATTATATTATTATATTATTATATTATTATATTATTATATTATTATATTATTATATTATTATATTATTATATTATTATATTATTATATTATTATATTATTATATTATTATATTATTATATTATTATATTATTATATTATTATATTATTATATTATTATATTATTATATTATTATATTATTATATTATTATATTATTATATTATTATATTATTATATTATTATATTATTATATTATTATATTATTATATTATTATATTATTATATTATTATATTATTATATTATTATATTATTATATTATTATATTATTATATTATTATATTATTATATTATTATATTATTATATTATTATATTATTATATTATTATATTATTATATTATTATATTATTATATTATTATATTATTATATTATTATATTATTATATTATTATATTATTATATTATTATATTATTATATTATTATATTATTATATTATTATATTATTATATTATTATATTATTATATTATTATATTATTATATTATTATATTATTATATTATTATATTATTATATTATTATATTATTATATTATTATATTATTATATTATTATATTATTATATTATTATATTATTATATTATTATATTATTATATTATTATATTATTATATTATTATATTATTATATTATTATATTATTATATTATTATATTATTATATTATTATATTATTATATTATTATATTATTATATTATTATATTATTATATTATTATATTATTATATTATTATATTATTATATTATTATATTATTATATTATTATATTATTATATTATTATATTATTATATTATTATATTATTATATTATTATATTATTATATTATTATATTATTATATTATTATATTATTATATTATTATATTATTATATTATTATATTATTATATTATTATATTATTATATTATTATATTATTATATTATTATATTATTATATTATTATATTATTATATTATTATATTATTATATTATTATATTATTATATTATTATATTATTATATTATTATATTATTATATTATTATATTATTATATTATTATATTATTATATTATTATATTATTATATTATTATATTATTATATTATTATATTATTATATTATTATATTATTATATTATTATATTATTATATTATTATATTATTATATTATTATATTATAACATTATTATATTATTTAATTATTATATTATTATATTATCATATCATTATATTATTATCAATAATATTAAAAATTTCCACACCATAAATTGCAGCAATATTAGCGCTCCTAAATCTGAATTGAATAAATTACTAAAAATTTTAACGTGCTACCAGCGAATATTTTTAATCTCAAATAAATGAAAAAGACATCAATAATAACTAAATAATTAAGATTCAAACGTCAATTGTCTCGTGTGCAATATTTATTTCGCATACAAATCCGTCGCGATCGCGAAATAATCGAACGTTTTACGAGCGTTAAATCGACGGAACCGCGAAGTAAAGCTGTTTCTCATCGGTAATCCGATAATCGGGAATCAATTTGCACGCGTTTTTTCGGCGATTCGACGTGAAACAGCGAGCGGGCGGGGGACGGGGAGGGGGCGGGGGTCCCGTCATTAATTAGCATCGGAACAGCGACCGTTTGACAGAACGAAATTAAATGCAACACGGCATTTAATGCCGTCGGAACGTTTAATCACGAGTCTCATTCGTCTGTTTATTTTCCAGGTGAACGGAGCGTGGACCCTGCCCGGATTCGTCTGCGACTTTTACATCGCCATGGACGTCACCTGCAGCACCAGTTCCATTTTCAACCTCGTAGCAATCTCGATAGACAGGTGAGCGATCCGTGACACTGTCTCCGCGACTATACCGGAATCCATTGTTCACCGTTGCCGAACGTTCTCGCGCACGGAAATACAGTAAATTCTCCCCAATTGACGCACAGATTGCGTACGAAAATGGACAATTTGGGACGAGGAGATACGATTGTTCGAGACTTCCAGCTCGTTTTTATACTTGTCACAAGGCTCGAGCAATCGTATCTCCTTTTCCAAAATTGTCCATTTATGTGGACAATCTGAGCGTCAGTAAGGGAGACATTACTGTACAGTAATAATCTCGCATAATCGTGTCTCCTCTTCTTAAATTATTCATTTTTGTCTACAAGTTGGAGGAAAATTATGCTCATGCTTCGAAGATTCGGCGTTCCTTCCATTGTCATTCAATTTTTCAATTCAAATATATATATTTGTAGTCGTCTATTTAAAACTGCATTCTTGTTTTACAATTTTGTTCGCTGTGTTTCCTAAAATCATCTACAAACACTGTACAGTAATGTCTCCCTTACTGACGCACAGATTGCGCACGAAAATGGACAATTCGGGACGAGGAGATACGATTGTTCGAGACTTCCAGCTCGTTTTTATACTTGTCGACGATCGATAACCATAAAAAACCAGCCACAAGGCTCTAGCAATCGTATCTCCTTTTCCAAAATTGTCCATTTATGTGGACAATCTGAGCGTCAGTAAGGGAGACATTACTGTACAGTAATAATCTCGCATAATCGTGTCTCCTCTTCTTAAATTATTCATTTTTGTCTACAAGCTGAAGGAAAATTATGCTCATGCTTCGAAGATTCGGCGTTCCTTCCATTGTCATTCAATTTTTCAATTCAAATATATATATTTGTAGTCGTCTATTTAAAACTGCATTCTTGTTTTACAATTATGTTCGCTGCGTTTCCTAAAATCATCTACAAACACTGTACAGTAATGTCTCCCTTACTGACGCACAGATTGCGCACGAAAATGGACAATTCGGGACGAGAAGATACGATTGTTCGAGACTTCCTGCTCGTTTTTTTTACTTGTCGATGATCGATAACCATAAAAAACGAGCCACAAGGCTCTAGCAATCGTATCTCCTTTTCCAAAATTGTCCATTTATGTGGACAATCTGTGAGTCCTGTCTCTTATACACATCTAGTTTTAAATAGACGACTACAAATCTGTCTCTTATACACATCTAGATGTGTATAAGAGACAGATTTGTAGTCGTCTATTTAAAACTGCATTCTTGTTTTACAATTTTGTTCGCTGTGTTTCCTAAAATCATCTACAAACACTGTACAGTAACTGTCTCTTATACACATCTAGATGTGTATAAGAGACAGATTTGTAGTCGTCTATTTAAAACTGCATTCTTGTTTTACAATTTTGTTCGCTGTGTTTCCTAAAATCATCTACAAACACTGTACAGTAATGTCTCCCTTACTGACGCACAGATTGCGCACTAAAATGGACATTTTGGGTAGAGGAGATACGATTATTCGAGCTTTGCGTCTCATTTTTATAATTGTGGACAATTTATAACTATAAAAATAAATGGCAAGGCTCGAACAATCGTATCTCTGCTATCCCAAATTGTCCATTTTTCTGCGCAATCTGAGCGTCAATTAGAGAGACATCACTGTACTCCTCCCTTCCCGGCAATAAGGAAGAGAAAAAGAATCGGGGCCGCCCCGATCCATTTACAAACTCGTCGAACAGAGATACGGTCGTATCGAACTCGAATTGCGAAATCGCAGAGAGAAGAATCCCGCGTATAGAAAATACCGTATAGAGAACAGGGGAAAAAGAAGAAATGTCGAAAAGTCAAGAAAAACCGGCCGACTGATTTAACCGGTACACGTGACTCGAATAACACTGAAACGGAGTTGGCTCTTGCTCCGGCGAGCGACGAAATCAGCTGGTTGAAAGCTGTAGACGCGATTTCTGTGAATTAAATTTCTCCGGGAATTTTTCTCGGACCAAAACGGTCACGACCGAACCGAAAAGAAGTCCGCGAGACGGCCCCTCCTCCTCCCCTGCCCCTTTCCCGTTGTTCGCGGAATAGAGCCGGTCGAAAGTGCCACTGAATCGAAACACTTTGTGCCGAGTTCCAACCCTTTACCTTGACCGACGGACGGTTTTTCAAACTAAAATTCTGGCGATCGGTTTTCGGCGCGTTTCTATGGAATGTACAAAATTTCCTTTCAATTGTTGAAGCACGTTTGATAACTCATTTCGCAAAAGGCATTTTTTAGATCTCCGTTATAGGCTCAGATGAAAAAGCTTAAAAACGAGGGTTTTCAATATTTTCTTTTAATTCCACTAGCAAAATTAGAGAAAGATCTTTTTAGCCATCATCCAGCAGACTAGTCGCTCTGTCATCTAAAAAAAAAGGAAAGATCCCAGTGATTTAGTTGAATTTTCAAAAAGTTATCGCGTTTTAAAAGGTGTTCGAACACTTTTGCGAGCCACTGTACGTTAAAACGTGCCCGGCTCGATGTAGAAAAATGAGCGCGGTCTATTAGGGACATTCCCAGCGCGCCTTTAAAGTTTAACGCTTGAAAGCCACGGAATCCGGATCGTATTATACGTCTTCGAGAAATCCCCGCGAGCAAGCGTTAATTTAGCGATTTAATTAATCAGAGCTTCTTTCCTCGGCCTCGCTCTTCCACTGGGACTAATCCTCCCCCGCCCCCCAACCTTCCACCACGATTTTTCCTGGTCTTCTACATTTTCCAAAGCACTGCCATGAATATATCCCCGTGGGGAGGGGGGGACACACAACGTATTAGCGGAAGCGGAGAGTAGTTTCGCATCTTGAACAAGAAACGGATGATATTTTACATTTTTATTCCGAGGAAATGGCTCGCCGTATATTCCGCGACGCGTTTGTTAACCCGGATACGTTTTTCCGCCGCCCAGTTTATGAAGGCAATCCTGAAACAACACCGCGAACACGGTATCATGTCTGTTTGATGCCGTGGTACGTCCCGGAGAATAATTAATGAAACTAGTAATAGCTGTTCCATTAATTGCAGTTAAATCGTTAGCAAGTGTGCTTAGCCTACGTTCGCGGGAAACGTGGAATTCATATTGCAAATATTTTGTAAACTTTAGCAAGAAGAAAGTAAATATCAAGAATTTAAAATTAAGAATCTTTTTATTTGTCAACATTTTTGTGTTTCTCTTATTACATTCTTTTTGATCGATTTCAAATAATAAAAATAAAACCAGCGATTTCGTATCGAAAAATAATAAACTTGCTCGCGTTTAGGAGCTTATGGACTCCGGATTTTGTGTATTTATAATAAAAATGAATAGCTGAATTGAAAGCAGAAGGAAGATTTAACGAATCCAAGAACATCTATGTATTATTTTCGAGTCATTAAATCATTCGAGAGAGAAAGAAATGTCTGTTCGGCTCGAGTCCGTTGGAATCTGTGAACAATGTTATTTCGCACGTAATTCCGGTGACTACTTTTTCCGCTTAGAATTCTACAGAGTGTGTCCAAAATTATTGTACAAGATTCCTGAGGTCATTTGAAGTAACTTTTTCCTTTGCGAAAATGTTCTCCGAGGCTTCGTTCACGAGTTATCAACGAGAAACGCCCGACCAATGAGAGGCGAGCACGACTGGCGCGTGGCGGCCCAGTCAACGAGCGGTGGAAGCGCTGTTCCGTTCATTGGCTCCGCCGCGGCGCGCCGCCTAGCGCCAGCTGATCTCGCCTCTCTCATTGGTCACCGTTTTTCGTTAATAACTCGCGAACGAAGCCTCGGATTGCATTTTCGCAAAGGAAGAAGTTACTTCAAATGACTTCAGGAATCGTTCACTTCAGGTACAATGCAATACAAACATTTCTCACTTGTCTAATAATTTTGGAACACCCTGTATAGTATAAGAAAACGTGCGAAACTTGTGTTTTGATCGAACACAACGGGGCTACACGTTCGAATCGACGAACGAAAACGTAAGAGTAACTTTCGTGTCGGTCAAACATTGGGACACTGTACGAAATGAATTTGAATTGCAGATACATAGCGGTGACCCAGCCGATAAAATACGCGAAGCACAAGAACAATAGAAGAGTGTGGTTGACGATACTGTTGGTTTGGGCGATATCTGCCGCGATCGGCAGCCCGATTGTTCTTGGTTTGAATAACACACCCGACCGGCTACCGGACCAATGCCTCTTCTACAACGCGGACTTCATCATCTACTCGAGCCTATCTAGTTTCTACATACCCTGCATCATCATGGTGTTTCTCTACTATAACATATTCAAGGTGAGCGTTGATCGCGGCGCATTTTACAATTACATTATTTTTCCGTGCATATTTCCGTGAGAATGATGTTCAATATTTATTTTCTTTTTCGTAGCGTCGATTCGATATTTTCGTTTCGGTAATGGTATTGGTGGACTGCGGATTTTATGCGTTTATATGGCGAAAATGAATAAATGAAATTCGAAACAGCGAGAGTATTTAAACGATTTAACGATATTATTGCGTCACGCTCAACTCGTTAAGCTTATTTAAACAAGACATACGTAATATATAAATAATATATTTATATATCATATTTATAATTTTTTTTATTTTCATATATATTTTTATTTTTATTTATTTATATATATATATATAATTTATATTATTATAAATTATATAATAATATAAATATAATATTATATTATATTATATTATATTATATTATATTATATTATATTATATTATATTATATTATATTATATTATATTATATTATAATATTTATAATAATATAAATTATATATATATTATTATATAATTTTTATATATATAATTTATATAAGTAAAAGAGAAATTTTGCATGAAGATCCGCAGTCTAGTTATTAGTATCGTAGATATTTAAGGGACACGACGACTGTAAAATCATTGGCTGACAACGCGCTGTTTCGTCGACGAATTAATTACAACATTACAATAAATCATCGAAAAGATGATCGATATTTTTTGCTCGAGCCGCAACGTTAAAACGATATCCCCGCCACGATGATCTACGATGAGACAGGTGGAATAGGACCAACCAATGGTCAGGCAAGTGAAATAGGGCGACCGAGGTCAGACACGTGGAATGAGGTGATCTATGATCCGACAAGTGTAATAGGAACAATTTTCGGTCGAACGTGTGACACCGAGGTTCGGGGGTCTGTGTTGGGCATCGGCGAGTAGAATAGGTACAGCATATAGTCAGACCAGGTAGCGTGTGATCGAACAAGTGGAACGTGGTTGTCTCTGGTCAAACGAGTGAAATGGGGATATCCTGTGGTCAGACAAGCGGGATAGGTGCGACCTATGATCAGACAAGTTCAACAGGGGCGGTCAACGGATAATTACAGTTGTAAAATGGTGAAACGCTACGGTGACATCGATCAGACAATGTTGAACGTTATTCTATTTTCTGTTCAAGAGAAAAATTCACTAAAATTTCTTCAATGGAATGAACTAAGTAAAATATACACAAGTGTACTTGAATAAAACTAGTGTCCGATTAGAATCTTCTTGTTGTTGGTAATTTTCAGTAACCCAAGAAGAATATAGTCTAATGGTCGAAGACAGATAAGAAACAAAATAAAACGTTTTAAGGACGTAAAAACATTAAAAAATATTCCATGTCATATGTACTCGGAAATACCATCTAAACTGCTTTTTTAATGCCTCGTCAGATGGTAGTATTTTTTTATAGTATTTTTTTATACTATTTTTCTATAGTGTTTTTTTTTATTGTATTTCTTTTACAGTATCTTTTTTCTAGTGTATTTTTTATAGTATTTCTTTTATATAACATTTATTTTATAGTACTTTTTTATAGTATTTTTATTGTAGTATTTTTATTTATAGTATGTTTTTCGGACCCAGAGCTCGAGGTCTGACCTTTGGTCAGAGGCCTTGACCGAGGCCTTGACCGTTTGACAGTTGATGCCGTCTACTGTTTGTTTATGTTAGAGCAACGACGACAAATACAGAAACAAATGCAGCAAAAAAGGTTCGGTGAGATAATAGCAATAATAATAGTAATAATAAAAGTAATAAAAAATACGATAAGATAATAGTAATAATAGTAATAATAATAGTAACAATAATAGTAATAATAATAGTAGTAATAACAGTAATTAATAATAGTAATAATAACAATGATGACAGTTACAACAAAATTTTAGTTCGAAATGTTTGTACGCATAATGATAGTAATAATAACAGTAATTAATAATAGTAATTAATAAGTAATAATAGTAATAGTAATAATAATAACAATAACAATGTTGACAGTGACAACAAAATTTTAGTTCAAAATAATAATAATAATAATAATAATAATAATAATGTACGTATAAGGTCATGGGTCCGTTTGGACCCGGACGCGGTGCTGCGCGCGAACGTCCAACCGCCAGTACTGCGAGGGTGAAATAATAAATGGGTCACGCTGCATAATAGCTAAGGAAGTATAGTACTAGTGACGAGTCAGGGTAAGCCAAAAGCGAGTCGCCAGCCAACAAAACGAAAATATTCCGAGGGGCAATTTCTCCTTCAAGCCTGCGACAGTCCCCGATAATGCGTTCGTAGGGGCGCGTCGCCGTATACGGGACAACGGAAACGAGAAAAACAGATTAGTGTCCGCAGCATCACGGGGCTTGTAGGGTCGTCTTGGACGGTCGTGCGCGCTCAGAAACAAAACCCGGATGTTCTGGCACGGACCTGGTAATATTCCTGCCTGCCAAATTATGCGGGTGTAATTTTCACGCCAGATGGAAACGAAATCGCTGAGCACGCTGCATTCTGCGATTACGTTGCGGTTTACCGTGTATTCGTTCCGCGACAACCGTAATTCACAGACCGTTTTTATCCTTTCCGCATGTTTTTACTTTTGCTGGTTTACCTAAAAAGGCTTCGAAGATCAGTTCGAAAATTATGATTTATTCTATAAATTGATATCGCGTGATTTATTTACAGTCCACCAGAGAACAAAATATATTTTTCTGAACGCGGCGTACGGAACGCGGTTAGAAACGCTCGCGTTGTCGCGGTGTTAGATTTAGTTCGCTGTGATATGCAGGATGTTTCAGAAATGTCTCGCAACTCGGATTGAGGGCTTCCTGAGATTATTCGAAGAAGTTTTCTCCTTAGCGAAAATGCAATCCGCGGCTTCGTTTAGGAGTTATCGACGAGAAACGATGACCAATGAGAGGCAAAATCAGGTGGCGCGAGGAGGCCAAATCAATTAGCGGAACTGGGCTTCGAGCGCTCGTCGAATCGGCCGCCTTGCGCCGCCGATCTCCGCCATACTCCGCCGAACTCCGCCGATCTCTGCCCTGGCGCCGCTGAGCTCTGCCGAGCTCCGCCGTACTTCGCTGAACTCCGCCGATCTCCGCCTGGCGCCGCTGAGCTCCGCCGATCGCCGCCGAGCTCCGCCGAGCTCCGCCTGGCGCCGCTGAGCTCCGCCGAGCTCCGCCGTGCTCCGCCGAACGCCGCCGAACGCCGCCGAGCTCCGCCGAGTGCGTCACTCATTGGTCACCGTTTTTCGTTAGTAACTCGTAAACGAAGCCGCGGATTGCATTTTCGCCAAGGAAAAAGTTATTTCAAATGACGTGAGGAATCCCCATTTCCGGACTGTGAGACATTTCTGTGACATCCTGCATACTTGAATAACGTACGTTTCTTAAAAATAGAAGTATCAAGATTTTACTATTTTCGCGTCTGTTCGGCGTGTCGTCTTAACGCTCGCTTCGCAGGAATCATTCGATCGTCGCCCGAATCGTCTATAAAACTTCACCGTTTTCTTTTCGCTTCGCGTAGCCTCTGTCGTAAAAGCATAGTGCCGCGGTTTAACGTTGGGGGGGGGGGGTGGAAACGGTACCGGTGGAAACGTCGATGTAAAAGGCATGAAATATCATGCCTTTATATTCAACCGTAACATGTCCGCGGGTGGAGAGCATTTCTCATAATACACCGGTCGCTTGCAGCTGAATTCTCAAATGTATCTTCAATACGCGAAATACCTTCCATCGTGAGCGTCGTGATAAATTTCTCTACTTTGATATACACGTGTAACGACCAGATTAAGTGGACCGCGCGTGGTATCGACAGCTTGCTACTTTGCTGCTAACCTTGCGGGAATGTTTCACGGAAAGTCTACCCAGGGAATATTTTACGACCTCTGGGCGCGCGATTCGAAAAAAAAAATTACTGCACAACGCGCACGGATTTTTAGATTCGCGTCGTTTATTACGATTTCGCGATTTCGTCGCGGTCGTCGCTTCGCGTATACGGTTTCTGTATATATATATGTGTTCTAATTATTTTAAATAGACCGCGGATTTTATGCACAAAATTAAGACAAAATTGAGTAGATGAATTACGCGATCAGGATACGGAAACGAGTATTATGTTCAACTTTCATTTCTTGTGATCGACGCGAATAATTTTTATTTTTGATAATGATCCGAGGTCTAACTGTGCAATTATTGCATTATGAAAGGAGCAGCATTGTATAATTGAAATTCGTTTCATTGTTGCAATTAATTTTATGCCCTTGTGTTAAATGCAAACTCATAAAATGTTCATACAATAATATAATATAATAATATAAATATAATATATATAATAATAATAATATAATAAAGTAAAATAAAATAAAATATAATAATATTATAATAATAATAATAATATATAATAACAATGTAAAAAATAAATATAATAATATAATAATAATAATATACAATAACGATATAAAAAATAAATATAATAATATAATAATAACAATATACAATAACGATATAATAAATAAATATAATAATATAATAACAATAATATAAAATAACCGTATAAAAAAAACTAATATAAAATAAGAAAATTCATATAACAATCGACAGCCTATTTTACTTTTATTACTAGAAACGCTTCGATCAGCGAAAGAAATTTTCTCCTTCTCGTTTTAACGAAGATTTCGCACGATTTAAGAACACTGTACCGGAATCGAATTTTATACCACAGTTTAACTTTTATTATTCGAGTATACAGAAATGTATCGTTCATTCTCCATGCGTAGAGATTCATTCATGAGACAAACGTTTCCATCTCTAGCACAATTGTATCAGACATTTCTGCATCGAACGTATCGATTCCACGACATTTACGTATTATCGTCCGTTACGTTGATCGATGCTCGCGATCCTATATCGAATCCGATCGAGCACAGATAGGAGAAGTTTCTTTCGCAGGCTTTTGATTTATCTTGAAGCGACGATTTCAATTTCGCGTTTCCAGGCTCTGCGGAACAGGGCGAAGAAAGCCAGGGCCAACCGGAAGCCGAACATGGGCGACATTAAACCCGGCAGTATAATCGAGAACATCGCGCATACACGCAGGTGAGCCGACAGTTCTGGAACCGTGGCCGAGAAAAAAAAACGGTTCTCGTTCCCGCTCGCGAATTTCACCAAGAATTTTCTAGGATCTCCTTTAGAAAGCAGCGCCGGATAAGGGAAAGAACGGATCGAAATATACGAAACGAAATACATGCATTGTTATCGCGCGCGTTACGCAATACAGTAATGTCTCCCTTACTGACGCTCGGATTGTCTACGAAAATGGATAGTTTAGGTAGAGAAGATACGATTATTCGAGCATTTTGGCTCGTTTTTATATTTATTGGCAATTGGTAACTATAAAAACGAGCTGCAAGGCTCGAATAATCGTATCTCCCCTTCCCAGATTGCGTCATTTTTTGTGGACAATCTGAGCGTCAGTAATGTCTCCCTTGCTGACGCTCAGATTGCATGCAAAACTGGACAATTCGGAAAGAGGTGATACAATTATTCCAGCATTTTGGCTCGTTTTTATATTTATTGGCAATTGGTAACTATAAAAACGAGCTGCAAGGCTCGAATAATCGTATCTCCTCTTCCCAAATTGCGTCATTTTTTGTGGACAATCCGAGCGTCAGTAAGGGAGACATTACTGTACGCGAGCGATACAATAATGTCTCTCTTACTGACGCTCGGATTGCGCCCAAAACTGGACAATTCGCAAAGAAGTGATACGATTATTCGAGCGTATTTCAGCTCGTTTCTATAGTTGTTGACAATTCGTAACTATAAAAAACGAACCATGAGACTCGAATAACCGTATCTCCTCTTCCCAAATTGCGTCATTTTTTGTGGACAATCTGAGCGTCAATTAGAGAGACATTACTGTACTCTGACACGTGGTTCGATGTCTAATGCCGTTCTCTAAGTTCCACGGAATCTCGAGTTGATCAAACGGAACAGAATCGAAGCCAAAACTTCGTTGAATTGCGGAGAGAATTTTCATCGAACCGCTGGGGCACCGTTTTGTTACTACATCAGGCTGCTGCATACGAGCTCGATATCTATTATTTATCGGTGTGATTCATCGCGCCTTTGTACAGGGAACATTTTCGATCACGCTGATTGCGAGACGCGCTGCGCTGTTTACTATCGCAATTAGACCGCTCGAAAATTCAGCCAAATTCAGCATTTGGCAGCGCGTAATTCTATGAAGGAAATTTTCGGGGGGTTATTGCGGAAAATTTATTCCGATTAGTTCGTATGCAGCAGAGGCACGGACACGTTGTCGACAGATCTTTTGGAAGCGGTGGCAATTTTTGTGTGTATTGGCTAACACGGATTGTTCTTGCGAATTACGTTTCGATTATACGTTTTGATGTTTATAGTAAATTCTTCCTAATGTAGTCTCGCAGCTCGGAATTGAAAACAGGCGATTCAGACACGATTGTATGACGTGGCTCGCTTTAATAGTTGGGGGCATCTTGTGAGAGAAAGAGAGAAAGAGAGAAAGGAAGAGAAAGCAAGAGAGGAAGAGAAAGAAAGAAAAAGAAAAAGAAAAAGAAAGCAAAAGAGAAAGAAAAAGAAAACAAAAGAGAAAGAGAAAGAAAGAAAAAGAAAGCTAGACAGAAAGAGACAGAAAGAGAGAGCAAGAGGGAGAAAGAGAGAGAAAAAGAGAGAGAGAGAGGGAGAGAGTGAGAGAGAGCGCGAGAAAAAGAGGGAGAGAGAGAGTGAGAGAGAGCGAGAGAGAGAGAAAGAGAATACGAGGGAGAGAGCGAGAGAAAGCGAGAGCGAGTGCGAGAGAGTGCGAGAGAGTGCGAGAGAGTGCGAGAGAGCGGGAGAGCAAGAGAGAGCGAGAGCGAGTCTTTCTACTTTCTTCTGTCACTCCAAATAATAGCAAAATTGCAAAAATCATCTAAAAAGAAAAAAAGAAAATTCAGTCCAGTTTCAAAAAAGTTTTCGCATTTTTTGGGCAACCGTGTATTCTACAATCTACTCGGCCCGCTCGAGACTAAAATACGATTAAAATCAAAGATCCGGTTGCGCGCGCGAAACGAAAGCGCATGTCGCAGACAGGCAGAGTAATTATCACGAGGTCGAGAAGCTGCTGCCAAGCGATCTGTCGCTGTGTTATTAAAGAAAAAAAAACGCACGTCACTTTGTGGTGCATGAATGTTGCATGAGTCCCGTAAGCATGAGTTAGCCCGGCGCCGAGGGTTGTATCGAGGCCGGAATAGTAGGGTGGCGCGGATCCGGCTCGGCAATATCTCGGGGTGGCAATTTTCCATTTCCACGTGGCGGCGCGGCGCGAAGATCAAAGTGCTCTTTAAGCGCGATAAATTTATTCGCGGATCCGTCGGGTCGGTCACCTTGTCGCCGGCAGCCCCGAAGAGGTACGGGGCTTCATTTCGAATGTGTCGCGTGCTCGAGGAGACCGCCATTTTTTTCAATTTTCGCCTTGTGTAACTCTTGCATTCCAACGAGACGATTTCTCACGGAGATTGGCGCGGTGTCGTGGCCGAGAGACGGTGGAGCGGAAAGAGGAGATGAGAAAGGAGATGGGAGAGAGAGAGAGAGGGGGGGAGAGGGAGAGAGGGCCGGGGAATATGTCGGACGGGGCGGGAAAGGCGCGAAGAAAAGAAAGTCTGAAGCAGAATGGCAGACCTAAGAGGAGCGGGAGAGAGACAGAGAGAGAGAGAGAAAGAGAGAGAGAGGAAGGCTAAGACCGGTTAAGTCCCGAGCATCTCCGGATAATACGCTTTTCTCGCGCGCGCGCGCGCGAGGCTTCATTTCCGTTGTCCCGAGGTCGGCGTACTTGCCTTGAATAGCCAACTACTTCGCCTTCGATTTAATTGCCGGCTTTTGTGCCCGGCTGTTCCCGAGTGTCGTACGTTTGTTCATCGACGAGGAGGACTATGGCGGCCGGGGCTCTCCCGACGGGTTTCTCGCACGGCGAGGCACGTAGCCTTGTTTGCCGGTGAAGATGATTTAATACCCACTTTCGACCCCCCGCATTCTTTCCGCTACGGAAATAAAGAGTGCTCCAGAACAAGCACCTGTACCGGAGAACAGCTACAGCTTAAAGAGATTCTACTTTCGTTCCCGTTGCCATAAGGCTGCGTTGCGTGAACAAAAAAAAAAGGAAAAGAAAAGTACAGCAATTTCTCGCAGAAATGTTTTCCAGTCGGAAGCGAGACATGCGGATCTGAGAATACTGGGGCATGATTCTTCGAGCCTCGCGAGAGAGAGAGAGAGAGAGAGAGAGAGAGAACGAAACTAGCCGGAAAGGAAGAGGTCAGCATATGGATCTACATTAATCCGATTCATAGTAACGGTGGAATAAAAACAATGCTTTAACTTCTCCATTTCTAATTTATTATACGTGAGAATTTGTTTAACACATTGGTGAGATTGTTGCGATTAAAATGAGTCCAAACACGACATGCTTCAGACCAATTATATTCAATTAGTAATTCAATTAATAATTCAATTACAACGATCTTATTTTATACAATCAGAAGTATCTGTTGAAACTATATCGTGTTTGGTCTCGTTTTAATCAGAAAATTGTTAGCAACGCGTTAAAAAGAAGATCAGTTTTAAAATGTTAAGATTTAAAAAAGTTATTGTCATTGTCATTGCATTATGCGTTATTATTCCAAATGTATTGTCCGTTGACTTCGCCGACTTCGTCGAATCTGAGCATTCACGTAAACTGAAAAATCGATAAATTACAGGAATTTCTGCAAAAATTAATTTCGTTGCAGTTTCATTGTAAAATGTGAATTATATATTGTGAAATTCTCATTTTTAGTAGTTATGTTATGGACATTTGAAGAGGGAAGAATTGACAGTTTTTATTAACCCAGAGTTTCGCATTGCTTTCTATTATTTAAAAAATATATATAAATATCTAACAATTTTTAATTTAATTTTCATGCATCAAAATTTATGCCATAGTTATATTAATACATAAATATTAAATTCAAAGTTTATATATATATATAATAAACTTTTAATTTAATTTTTAGATATGTAAAAGTTTATATATAAATATATAATATATATAATATATAATAATACATATAAAATATCATAATATACGTGTCTAAAAATTGTTAATTTAATTTTGATGCAAAATAGACGTAATAAACATTACATTCCCCTATAATAACGCAAATGTTCGTCCACTGGAAGATATTCATTCATCGGACCGATCACCCTAATCGTTTTTATACGCGGTGTATCCAGTTCCATTTCTTCCGTTCGCCTTACTATAATTAGAGGTAGTCATAATTGCCTGAATATTTTTGGACGATGGCATACGATCCGAGCGCTGCTCTGCGAGTGTTTTAATCTTTCGATCGATTTTAAACGCCTGATACGGCACCACTCTAAATCGCCAGTAATTCTCCATACGTTGGAATAAATATGAATTATACGTCGCGCGCGGTCTCGCAGACCGCAAAGTCTCAATTGGCCAGATTCCGAGCCGAATTCCGTAACTCGTTCGGATTAAGAAGTTCGTAATCTCTGGCAAAGGCAATTACTCTCTCTCTTTCTCTCGGTTTCCCTCTCTTTGTGCCCACTGAACGACGTCGCCTGGACTCAGTGATATTAACGACGACACGCCGGTTCCCTAATTATTATTTACGGACTCCTTGTAGGTCGCCGCGGCCTACGTATAGCAGAATATGTATGTATGTATGTATAAACACCGTCGATAAATTAGACTTAGCTGTTCCGTGGAACAGCAACGGTCGCATTTCGGCTGCACAACCTCGACTTTTCCCGCGGGCGCGATACGTATTCAACATAATCTCGGACCCCGGCCTTTCGCAAATTCTCCCCGGCCCCTCGAACGCCGCTGCCAACCACATAATCTGCGTCGGTGAAAGAACCAAAGGCGTAGGAATAATAGTATAGAAGCAACTCGATGTGCTGCGTCGAAGAGCGGATTACAGTAATTTTTGCCTAATTCTCGCGTGCTCAATTTGCGCACGAAAATGGACAATTTGGAGAGTGGAGACACGATTTTTTTATATTTTTTTATTATATTATAT